CAGGAGGTGCCCACATAGGCCGAATCCTACTTGGGGTCTCCCCTTGGCCGCGCCCCCTGCCATATTTGCCGGAGGGGGAAGGAAAGAGGGAGAGGGGGAAAGGAAGGGGGGTCCTATGGACGTGGAGTTTCTACACCCAGGAGCAAATGCTCCTGGTGTGAACAGTAACATCGAATAAATTTAAAAATAATTCAAAAAATTGAATTTTTTGTGATATACTTTCGTAAGTGTTTGTTGTGCATGCAAAATTTCGTCGCAAAATCACATTGGTGGAAGGTATGGTAAAAAAACAAAATCGATGCTCTAAAAATGTTACTTACAAAAGCATTTTGGAGCTCGGATTTTGTTTTTTTCGGCATGCCTTCGACAAATGTGATTTCGCAATGAAATTTTGCATGCGCAACAAACATTTGTGGAAGTATGTCACAAAAAAAATTCAGAATTTTTTGAATATTTTTTCTATTTTTTTGATGTTACTGTTCACACCAGGAGCATTTGCTCCTGGGTGTAGAAATGTACTTTCGGGGTCCTATTCCCTTTCTTTCCTTTCCTCCTTTTCGCTTTCCTTCTCCACCTTAGCCGGCCCATATGGGGCCACACCAGCCCCTTGTGGCTGGTGCGTTTCCCCTCTTGGCCCATAAGGCCCATATCTTTTGCCGGGAGTGCCCGGAACCCCTTCCGGTGACCCGACATGTACTCGATACCCTCCGGAACACTTCCGATGGCCGAATACCATCGTCCTATATATCAATCTTTACCTCTCGGCCATTTCGAGACCCCTTGTCACGTCCGTGATCTCATCCAAGACTCCAAACAACATTCGGTCACCAAATCACATAACTCATATAATACTATATCGTCATCGAACGTTAAGCGTGCGGACCCTACGGGTTCGAGAACTATGTAGACATGACCAAGACACCTCTCTGGTCAATAACCAATAGTGGAACCTGGATGCCCATATTGGCTCCTACATATTCTACGAAGATCTTTATCAATCGAACCGTCATGACAACATACGTAATTCCCTTTGTCCATTGGTATGTTACTTGCCTGAGATTCGATCATCGGTATCTTTATACCTAGTTCAATCTCGTTACTGACAAGTCTCTTTAATCGTTTTGTAATACATCACCTCGTGACTGACTCCTTAGTCGTTTGCTTGCAAGCTTATGATGTGTATTACCGAGAGGGCCCAGAGATACCTCTCCGATACTCGGAGTGACAAATCCCAATCTCGATCTATGCCAACTCAAAAAACACCTTCGAAGATACCTATAGAGCATCTTTATGATCACCCAGTTACGTCGTGACGTTTGATAGCACAGAAGGCATTCTTCAGGTATCCGGGAGTTGCATAATCTCAGAGTCGAAGGAATATGTATTTGACATGAAGAAAGCAGTAGCAATAAAACTAAATGATCATTATGCTAAGCTAACGGATGTGCCTTGTCAATCACACCATTCTCCTAATGATGTGATCCCGTTATCAAATGACAACTCATGTCTATGGTTAGGAAACCTTAACCATCTTTGATCAACGAGCTAGTCTAGTTGAGGCTTACTAGGGACACGGTGTTTGTTTATGTATTCACACATGTATTAAGGTTTCCGATCAATATAATTCTAGCATGAATAATAAACGTTTATCATGAATAAGGAAATATAAAATAACAACTTTATTATTGCCTCTAGGGCATATTTCCTTCAAGTTTCTCCGGTGGAATCGCTCCGCCGGAGAGCAAAAGTGCTCCTGCCCCGGTTCCGCCTCGAGACAGCGGCGGTTGTTCCCAAAAATCTTCTCTTCATTTTTCTAGGGTAAATGGCTTCATATAGAAGAAGGACGTCAGTGGTGGGCCTCTGTGGGCCCCACAAGCCATCCTGGCGCGCCCCTGGCTTATGGGCCCACCAAGGGTCTTCTTTGGTACTTATTTCTTCTAGTATTCTTTATATATTCCATAAAAAAATCTCCGTAAATTTTCACGTCATTTGAGCTCTAGCGAATTGCTATCTCTGTTGTAGCCTTTGTTGGGGAACGTAGCAGAAATTCAAAATTTTCCTACGTGTCACCAAGATCTATCTATGGAGAAACCAGCTACGAGTAGAAGGGGAGTGCATCTACATACCCTTGTAGATCGCTAAGCGGAAGCGTTCAAGTGAACGGGGTTGAAGGAGTCGTTCTCGTCGTGATTCAAATCACCGATGATCAAGTGCCGAACGCACGGCACCTCCGCGTTCAACACACGTACAGCCCGGTGACGTCTCCCACACCTTGATCCAGCAAGGAGAGAGGGAGAGGTTGAGGAAGACTCCATCCAGCAGCAGCACAACGGCGTGGTGGTGGTGGAGGAGCGTGGCAATCCAGCAGGGCTTCGCCAAGCACCGCGGGAGAGGAGGAGGAGAGAGGTAGGGCTACACCAAGAGGGAGAGAACTCATGTGTATGGCAGCCCCAAACCTCATCTATATATAGGGGGAAGGGGGGGCTGCGCCCCCTTTAGGGTTTCCCACCCCCAAGGGGTGCGGCCAGCCCTAGATGGCAAAGGGGAGGCGGCCAAGGGGGGAGAGGAGAGGGAGGCGCACCAATATGGGCCTTAAGGCCCATCTGGACTAGGGTTTGCCCCCTCCCACTCTCCCTTGCGCCTTGGCCCCCTTGTGGGGGGCGCACCAGCCCTCCTAGGGGCTGGTCCCCTCCCACACTTGGCCCACGCAACCTTCTGGGGAAGGTGGCCCCACTTGGTGGACCCCCGGGACCCTCCCGGTGGTCCCGGTACAATACCGATATCGCCCGAAACTTTTCCGGTGACCAAAACAGGACTTCCCATATATAAATCTTTACCTCCGGACCATTCCGGAACTCCTCGTGACGTCCGGGATCTCATCCGGGACTCCGAACAACATTCGGTTACCACATACAAGCTTCCTTTATAACCCTAGCGTCATCGAACCTTAAGTGTGTAGACCCTACGGGTTCGGGAGACATGCAGACATGACCGAGACGTTCTCCGGTCAATAACCAACAGCGGGATCTGGATACCCATGTTGGCTCCCACATGTTCCACGATGATCTCATCGGATGAACCACCATGTCAAGGACTTAATCAATCCCGTATTCAATTCCCTTTGTCTATCGGTATGTTACTTGCCCGAGATTCGATCGTCGGTATCCAATACCTTGTTCAATCTCATTACCGGCAAGTCACTTTACTCGTTCCGTAACACATCATCCCGTGATCAACTCCTTGGTCACATTGCGCATATGATGATGTCCTACCGAGTGGGCCCAGAGATACCTCTCCGTTTACACGGAGTGACAAATCCCAGTCTCGATCCGCATAAAACAATAGATACTTTCGGAGATACCTGTAGTGCACCTTTATAGTCACCCAGTTACGTTGTGACGTTTGATACACCCAAAGCACTCCTACGGTATCCAGGAGTTACACGCTCTCATGGTCAAAGGAAGAGATACTTGACATTGGCAAAGCTCTAGCAAACGAACTACACGATCTTTTGTGCTAGGCTTAGGATTGGGTCTTGTCCATCACATCATTCTCCTAATGATGTGATCCCGTTATCAACGACATCCAATGTCCATAGCAAGGAAACCATGACTATCTGTTGATCACAACGAGCTAGTCAACTAGAGGCTCACTAGGGACATATTGTGGTCTATGTATTCACACGTGTATTACGATTTCCGGATAATACAGTTATAGCATGAATAAAAGACAATTATCATGAACAAGGAAATATAATAATAATACTTTTATTATTGCCTCTAGGGCATATTTCCAACAGTCTCCCACTTGCACTAGAGTCAATAATCCAGTTCACATCGCCATGTGATTAACACTCACAGGTCACATCGCCATGTGACTAATACCCAAGAGTTTACTAGAGTCAGTAGTCTAGTTCACATCACTATGTGATTAACACTCAATGAGTTTTATGTTTGATCATGTTGCTTGTGAGAGAGGTTTTAGTCAACGGGTCTGAACCTTTCAGATCCGTGTGTGCTTTACAAATCTCTATGTCATCTCCTAGATGCAGCTACCACGCTCTATTTGGAGCTATTCCAAATAACTGTTCTACTTTGAGCTATTCTAAATTATTGCTCCATTATATGTATCCGGTCTCTCTACTCAGAGCTATCCGGATAGGTGTTAAGCTTGCATCGACGTAACCTTTACGACGAACTCTTTTACCACCTCCATAATCGAGAAAATTCCTTAGTCCACTAGTTACTAAGGATAACTTTGACCGCTGTCCTATGAGCCATTCTTGGATCACTCTTGTACCCCTTGACTGACTCATGGCAAGGCACACTTCAGGTGCGGTACACAGCATAGCATACTGAAGAGCCTACGTCTTAAGCATAGGGGACGACCTTCGTCCTTTCTCTCTATTCTGCCGTGGTCGAGCTTTAAGTCTTAACTTCGTACCTTACAACTCAGGCAAGAACTCCTTCTTTGACTGGTCCATCTTGAACACCTTCAAGATCATGTCAAGGTATGTGCTCATTTGAAAGTATTATTAAGCATTTTGATCTATCCTTATAGATCTTGATGCTAAATGTTCAAGTAGCTTAATCCAGGCTTTCTATTGAAAAACACTTTCAAAATAACCCTATATGCTTTCCAGAAATTCTACATCATTTCTGATCAACATGTATTCATCAGAAATTCTATAGTGCTCCCACTCACTTCTTTGGAAATACAAGTTTCTCATAAACTTTGTACAAACCCAAAATCTTTGATCATCATCAAAGCATACATTCCAACTCCGAGATGCTCACTCCAGTCCTTAGAAGGATCGCTGGAGCTAACATACCTTTTAGCATCCTTAGGATCGACAAAAACTTTCTGATTGTATTACATACAACCTTTCCTCACAAAAACTGGTAAGGAAACTCGTTTTGACATCCATCTGCCAGATTTCATAAATACAGCTAATGCTAACATGAATCCGACGGACTTTAAGCATCGCTACGGATGAGAAAATCTCATCGTAGTCAACTCCTTGACCTTGTGAAAAACTTTTCGCCACAAGTCGAGCTTCATGGATGGTGACATTACCATCCACGTCCGTCTTCTTCTTAAAGATCCATTTATCTTAATGGCTTGCCGATCATCGGGCAAGTCCACCAAAGTCCATGGATCCGTTCTCGGATTTTATGGCCTCGAGCCATTTATCGGAATCCGGGCCCACCATCGCTTCTCCATAGCTCGTAGGTTCATTGTTGTCTAGCAACATGACTTCCAAGACAGGATTACCGTACCACTCTGAAGTAGCACGTATCCTTGTCACCCTACGAGGTTTGGTAGTGACTTGATCCGAAGTTTCATGATCAATATCATAAGCTTCCACTTCAATTGGTGTAGGTGCCACAGGAACAACTTCCTGTGCCCTGCCACACACTAGTTGAAGAGACGGTTCAATAACCTCATCAAGTCTCCACCATCCTCCCACTCAACTCTTTCGAGAGAAACCTTTCCTCGAGAAAGCACCCGATTCAAGAAACAATTCATATTGCTTTCGGATCTGAATTAGGAGGTATACCCAACTGTTTTGGGTGTCCTATGAAGATGTATTTTATCCACTTTGGGTTCGAGCTTAATCCTGAAACTTTTTCACATAAGCGTCGCAGCCCCAAACCTTTAAGAAACGACAACTTAGGTTTCTCTAAACCATAATTCATACGGTGTCATCTCATCGGAATTACGTGGTGCCCTATTTAAAGTGAATGTGGTTGTCTCTAATGCCTAACCCATGAACGATAGTGGTAATTCGATAAGAGACATCATGGTACGCACCATATCCAATAGGGTGCAACTATGATGTTCGGACACACCATCACACTATGGTGTTCCAGGCGGTATTAATTATGAAACAATTTCCACAATGTCTTAATTGTGTGCCAAAACTCGTAACTCAGATATTCATCTCTATGATCATATCATAGACATTATATCCTCTTGTCACAATGATCTTCTACTTCACTCTGAAATTACTTGAACCATTCAATAATTCAGACTTGTGTTTCATCAAGTAAATATTCTCAACATCTACTCGAATCATCTGTGAAGTAAGAACATAATGATATTCACTGCATGCCTCAGCACTCATTGGACTGTACACATCAAAATGTGTTACTTCCAACAAGTTGCTATCTTGTTCCATCTTATTGAAAAACGAGGCTTTTCAGTCATCTTGCCTATGTGGTATGATTTGCATATCTCAAGTGATTCAAAATCAATTGAGTCCAAACGGTCCATTTGCATGGAGTTTCTTCATGCATATACACCAATAGACATGGTTCGCATGTCTCACACTTTTCAAAAATGAGTGAGTCCAAAGATCCATCAACATGGAGCTTCTTCATGCGTTTTATACCATTATGACTTACATGGCAGTGCCACAAGTAAGTGGTACTATCATTACTATCTTATATCTTTTGGCATGAAAATGTGTATTACTACGACCGAGATTCAATAAACCATTCCTTTAGGTGCAAGACCATTGAAGGTATTATTCAAAAATAGAGTAACCATTATTCTCCTTAAATGAATAACCGTATTGCGATAGACATAATCCAATCATGTCTATGCTCAACGCAAACACCAATCTCGGTGGTAGAGGGAGTGTGCGATGCTTGATCATATCAACCTTGGAAACACTTCCAACATATATCGTCAGCTCACCTTTAGCTAGTCTCCGTTTATTCCGTAGCTTTTATTTCGAGTTACTAACACTTAGCAACCGAACCAGTATCCAATACCCTGGTGCTACTAGGAGTACTAGTAAAGTACACATTAACATAATGTATATCCAATATACTTCTATCGACCTTGCCAGCCTTCTCATCTACCAAGTATCTAGGGTAATGCTGCTCCAGTGGTTGTTCCCCTTATTACAGAAGCACTTAGTCTCGGGTTTGGGTTCAACCTTGGGTTTCTTCACTTGAGCAGCAGCTGAATTGCCGTTTCATGAAGTATCCCTTTGTTCCCTTGCCCTTCTTGAAACTAGTGGTTTCACCAACCATCAACAATTGATGCTACTTCTTGATTTCTACTTTCGCGGTGTCAAACATCATGAATATTTCAAGGATCATCATATCTATCCCTGATATGTTATAGTTCATCACGAAGCTCTAGCAGCTTGGTGGCAATGACTTTGGAGAAACATCACTATCTCATTTGGAAGATCAACTCCCACTCGATTCAAGTGATTGTTGCACTCAGACAATCTGAGCACAAGCTCAACGATTGAGCTTTTCTCCCTTAGTTTGTAGGCTAAGAAAATTGTCGGAGGTCTCATACCTCTTGACGTGGGCACGAGCCTGAAATCCCAATTTCAGCCCTCGAAACATCTCATATGTTCAGCGACGTTTCGAAAACGTCTTTGGTGCCTCTACTTAAACCATTTAACTGAACTATCACGTAGTTATCAAAACGTGTATGTTCGATTCGAAACATCCACAAACGACGTTTGGGGTTCAGCACACTGAGCAGTGCATTAAGGACATAAGCTTTCTACTGTTCGCATAATTGCTACTATCAACTTTCAACTTTATTTTCTCTAGGAACATATCTAAAACAGTAGAACTAAAGCGCGAGCTACGACATAATTTGCAAAAGGTCTTTTGACTATGTTCAGGATAATTAAGTTCATCTTATGAACTCCCACTTAGATAGACATCCCTCTGGTCATCTAAGTGATTACATGATCCGAGTCAACTAGGCCGTGTCCGATCATCACGTGAGACGGACTAGTCATCATCGGTGAACATCTTCATGTTGATCGTATCTACTATACGACTCATGCTCGACCTTTCGGTCTCCGTGTTCCGAGGCCATGTCTGTACATGCTAGGCTCGTCAAGTTAACCCTAAGTGTTTTCGCTGTGTAAAACTGTCTTACACCCGTTGTATGTGAACGTAAGAATCCATCACACCCGATCATCACGTGGTGCTTAGAAGCGACGAACTGTAGCAACGGTGCACAGTTAGGGGAGAACACTTCTTGAAATTTTGTAAGGGATCATCTTATTTACTACCGTCGTCCTAAGTAAACAAGATGCATAAACATAATAAACATCACATGCAATTATATAGTTGTGACATGATATGGCCAATATCATATAGCTCCATTGATCTCCATCTTCGGGGCTCCATGATCATCTTGTCACCGTCTTGACACCATGATCTCCATCATCATGATCTCCATCATCGTGTCTTCATGAAGTTGTCACGCCAATGACTACTTCTACTTCTATGACTAACGCGTTTAGCAATAAAGTAAAGTAGTTTACATGGCGTTCTTCAATGACACGCAGGTCATACAATAAATTAAGACAACTCCTATGGCTCATGCCGGTTGTCATACTCATCGACATGCAAGTCGTGAATCCTATTACAAGAACATGATCAATCTCATACATCACATATCATTCATCACATTCTTCTTGGCCATATCACATCACATAGCATACCCTGCAAAAACAAGTTAGACGTCCTCTAATTGTTGTTGCATGTTTTACGTGGCTGCTATGGGTTTCTAGCAAGAACGTTTCTTACCTACGCAAGACCACAACGTGATATGCCAATTGCTATTTACCCTTCATAAGGACCCTTTTCATCGAATCCGTTCCGACTAAAGTGGGAGAGACTGGCACCCGCTAGCCACCTTATGCACCAAGTGCATGTCAATCGGTGGAACCTGTCTCACGTAAGAGTACGTGTAAGGTCGGTCCGGGCCGCTTCATCCCACAATACCGTCGAAACAAGATTGGACTAGTAACGGTAAGCATATTGAACAACATCAACGCCCACAACTACTTTGTGTTCTACTCGTGCAAAGAATCTACGCAATAGACCTAGCTCATGATGCCACTGTTGGGGAACGTAGCAGAAATTCAAAATTTTCCTACGTGTCACCAAGATCTATCTATGGAGAAACCAGCTACGAGTAGAAGGAGAGTGCATCTACATACCCTTGTAGATCGCTAAGCGGAAGCGTTCAAGTGAACGGGGTTGAAGGAGTCGTTCTCGTCGTGATTCAAATCACCGATGATCAAGTGCCGAACGCATGGCACCTCCGCGTTCAACACACGTACAGCCCGGTGACGTCTCCCACGCCTTGATCCAGCAAGGAGAGAGGGAGAGGTTGAGGAAGACTCCATCCAGCAGAAGCACAACGGCGTGGTGGTGGTGGAGGAGCGTGGCAATCCAGCAGGGCTTCGCCAAGCACCGCGGGAGAGGAGGAGGAGGAGAGAGGTAGGGCTGCACCAAGAGGGAGAGAACTCATGTGTATGGCAGCCCCAAACCTCATCTATATATAGGGGGAAGGGGGGGCTGCGCCCTCTTTAGGGTTTCCCACCCCAAGGGGTGCGGCCAGCCCTAGATGGCAAAGGGGAGGCGGCCAAGGGGGGAGAGGAGAGGGAGGCGCACCAATATGGGCCTTAAGGCCCATCTGGACTAGGGTTTGCCCCCTCCCACTCTCCCTTGCGCCTTGGCCCCCTTGTGGGGGGCGCACCAGCCCTCCTAGGGGCTGGTCCCCTCCCACACTTGGCCCACGCAACCTTCTGGGGCAGGTGGCCCCACTTGGTGGACCCCCAGGGCCCTCCCGGTGGTCCCGGTACAATACCGATATCGCCCGAAACTTTTCCGGTGACCAAAACAGGACTTCCCATATATAAATCTTTACCTCCGGACCATTCCGGAACTCCTCGTGACGTCCGGGATCTCATCCGGGACTCCAAACAACATTCAGTTACCACATACAAGCTTCCTTTATAACCCTAGCGTCATCGAACCTTAAGTGTGTAGACCCTACGGGTTCGGGAGACATGCAGACATGACCGAGACGTTCTCCGGTCAATAACCAACAGCGGGATCTGGATACCCATGTTGGCTCCCACATGTTCCACGATGATCTCATCGGATGAACCACGATGTCAAGGACTTAATCAATCCCGTATTCAATTCCCTTTGTCTATCGGTATGTTACTTGCCCGAGATTCGATCGTCGGTATCCAATACCTTGTTCAATCTCGTTACCGGCAAGTCACTTTACTCGTTCCGTAACACATCATCCCGTGATCAACTCCTTGGTCACACTGCGCATATGATGATGTCCTACCGAGTGGGCCCAGAGATACCTCTCCGTTTACACGGAGTGACAAATCCCAGTCTCGATCCGCATAAAACAATAGATACTTTCGGAGATACCTGTAGTGCACCTTTATAGTCACCCAGTTACGTTGTGACGTTTGATACACCCAAAGCACTCTTACGGTATCCAGGAGTTACACGCTCTCATGGTCAAAGGAAGAGATACTTGACATTGGCAAAGCTCTAGCAAACGAACTACACGATCTTTTGTGCTAGGCTTAGGATTGGGTCTTGTCCATCACATCATTCTCCTAATGATGTGATCCCGTTATCAACGACATCCAATGTCCATAGCAAGGAAACCATGACTATCTGTTGATCACAACGAGCTAGTCAACTAGAGGCTCACTAGGGACATATTGTGGTCTATGTATTCACACGTGTATTACGATTTCCGGATAATACAGTTATAGCATGAATAAAAGACAATTATCATGAACAAGGAAATATAATAATAATACTTTTATTATTGCCTCTAGGGCATATTTCTAACAGCCTTTTCAGGCCGAAATTCCAGCTGCCGATAATCTTTCTTTTTTTATGTATCTTGCATTTTAAGAGAGAAAAGATGTTAGAGTTGCACTATAATATGGAATATAACTTCAAAACAAGATAAATAACAGTATGAAAAAACATGATGCAAAATAGACGTATTACACACCAGTGGTGATCGGGGTTGGAGACCACCACAACCTGGATGGGTCAAGATTAATACGGACAACACTATTGACACTCAAGCTCAGCTGGGAGGCACGAGAGGGTTTGCACGTTCACACCTCTCCTTTATGGGTGCTTGGAGCAAGCCCATGCCTGGTGTTACTGATCCTTTCATCGCCAAGTTTTTAGCATTGCGAGAAGGTGTTATCTTTGCCCAACTGAAGAGCTACTCGCATGTGGTTATGGAGGTTGATTGCTCGAAGGTTGCGAGGTTTTGGAATTCGCATCACATCCTCAAGTCAATTGTGATACCTATCTTCGATGAAATCAAGGAAAGAGCCTCAAACTTTGCTTCGTTTTCGGTTCAGCATGTCACAAAGGAAGTCAATTGCACAGTAGATCTTTGTGCTAAACATGCCACTGCGATTATCATTTTCAGATTGTTGGATGGAGCCATGTCCCTCCTTTTAGTTAGCAGTGTTTTGGCGGAGTGTAACTGAATTTCTCTCATGCAATAATGCTCCTAATTTCGCGTCAAAAAAAAGAAAATTAGCCGAAACCCTATTTAATAATGCTGTTCCACGTTCAACGGGACACATCACATGGCATTCCGACAGACAAGATAGGCCCGCACGAACTCTCTGTGGGCCCCGCGGGCGCCCCATTGACGGTGATTGGCCGATGGGCCGTCCTATCTGCCACGCGTAGAAAAGTCGCCCTGTACCCACAAGAACACACCTGTTCCTTTACACCTTTTCCTCTTCATTTTTTGTTCAGTTTTTTCTACCAAAATCATCATAGTCTTCTCCCTTCTTCTTGTTCTTCTTCTTCTTCTTCTTCTTCTTCTTCTTCTTCTCCGGAGCAACAAGGAGGAGACGCAGAGGAGGGAGGACGACACGATCTTGCCACTAGCTGCATTTCTCCTCCTCTCGCATTGGTCGTCTTCTAGTTCCACCGGCCACGAGCCTGCGCAGGTAATGTAGCTTCGTCTTCCCTTCTTGGCTTGTTCCTCTCGCGGAATGTGATCAGTAGTTGGTTCTGTTGGATAATGGCTGGTACTACGTACACGCGTATGCATAGAAAAACAAGTCTTGGGACTCCACCGTCTCCCCCTCTGCCCTCTCCTACCCCCATGTGAGGTGCGTAAATAAAATTGAAGGGAGTGGCCAGGAGCGTGGCGGGGACCATGGTCCGTCCCTTCGTCTCGCGACAGCAGCGCAAAACTCCAACCCAGCAAGCGGCGGCGGCCAAAGATAGTCCGTAGCCGCGCAGGTAGTGTTAGTACATGTGCGACTAAGAGGGGTGGTGCGCCGGCAGTGTAGTAGTTTCTGTTCTTGCCTTGGGTGTGGGCAGGCTGGTTTCGCCGGATCGCCGTCCACGTCCGGAATCCGGCGACAGACACGGCGCTCTCGGGCACATGGACCTGCCACCAGCCCGCCGGCTTTGGTTTCTTGCTTACAATGCTGCTTGATCCGAGGGGAGGGGGGTGTTGGCCGGCGGTGACAGGTGCAGAGGAAGAGGGGCGATTTTGACACTGTTCTTGGGTGGAGGGGGTGCAGGACTGAGAAGGGCGATGGGGGCAGGGGAGGAGGATGCGGCGGCGGCATGGGAGAAGGTGGAGGCCAAGGAGGAGAGGATCATGGTGTCCGTGCGGGTGCGGCCGCTCAACGGCAGGGAGTCCGGCGACAGCTCCGACTGGGAGTGCATCAGCCCCACCACCGTCATGTTCCGCAGTACCGTCCCTGACCGCGCCATGTTCCCCACCGCCTACACCTACGGTAAGCACAAGCACCGGCAGAGCTCAATTTCGCAAAGAATGTATGGCGATGTTGGCGACAATTGCTGGCCTTGATGTTGGGATTTCATTCGGCAGTCGATTTCTCAGTTTGTTCTGCTTTCTTGTCCTTTTCAGACAGGGTGTTTGGCCCCAATTGCTCGACCAGGCAGGTCTACGAAGAAGGAGCAAAAGAAGTTGCTCTATCAGTTGTCAGTGGAATCAACTGTATGTACAGGAGAAATGATGCTACTCCTTTACATCGTTAATTTGGTCTTTGGATGAACTGATGTGGACCAACTAACATTTGCACATGAATCTCTTCTTATTGACAGCAAGCATATTTGCGTATGGGCAGACAAGCAGCGGAAAGACTTACACAATGACTGGCATTACTGAGTACAGTGTGATGGACATCTATGACTACATAGAGAAGGTGTGTGTATGCGCGGCACCAGTGATGTTACAGTTCACTTTGTGAGATGATATTTGCCTCATTGTTTGTCATTGCTACAGCACCCTGAAAGAGAATTCATGCTGAAATTCTCAGCAATTGAGATATATAATGAAGCTGTAAGAGATCTTCTGAGCCATGATACCACACCTCTTAGACTGCTTGATGACCCAGAGGTACTCCATTCTCCTTTACTTGAGTTTACTATAACTATTTTTTCCTCCACCCTACGCTGATCTCGCGTTATCATTTGAATCAAACAGAAAGGGACTACTGTTGAAAAGCTCACTGAGGAAACACTGAGGGACAAGGACCATCTTAGGGATCTTCTTGGAATGTGTGAAGGTCCGGGCTAAAATTTCTAGAGAAGAAAACATGCACCATGTTTCTTGTTTTCATCATTTGCTTAATTTGGTATGTGCTACAGCTCAAAGAGAGATTGGAGAAACGGCTTTGAACGAAGCGAGCTCTAGGTCCCATCAAATACTCAGGCTGGTTGGTGGCTCTCTTATATATCTATTTTGCACTACCTTCTGAAGATGATTTTGTTGACAAGCTTTTGTTACATTCAGACAATCGAAAGTTCTGTTAAACAGTATTTAGGAAGAGGCAAATCGAGCACCCTGGTATCTTGTGTGGTATGGATTTTCCATTTATATTCATGATTATTTGGTACTAGCATGTTTCCATCATCTCTGAGTTTCTTGGTTCTTCTTCTGGACAGAACTTTGTTGACTTAGCTGGAAGTGAGCGAGCATCTCAGACTGCTTCAGCTGGTATGAGGTTAAAAGAAGGTAGTCATATTAATCGAAGTCTGCTAACACTGGGAAAGGTTGTTCGCCAACTGAGGTTTGTTTGGTTTGTTTTCTTCTAGCAAGAACTTGTAATCCCGGTGGTTTAATTCTTATATAAGTATATTCCGGTCCTAAAAATTATCAGAGTTTGCACATATATTTCCTCTTTCTTTTGTATTCACTAGATAAAGTAATTTTGAATTCCATTGGGTTTTACAGTTTGACGTGTGTCCTTTCTGCTCATTTTGTCTGCTCTTTCAACAATGACCTACTATATAGTATCTTTTCTCGACAAAGGCTAATATATTAACAAAGTGTAAAAAAAGACAAAGGGTAATATATTAACATCAAAATAATACCATTTACACATTTTTTCTTGAAAAGGAGATTAAACCCCCCTGCCTCTGTATCAATCGATGCATGCGGCCATCTTTATTTATTATTCCATCAAGGTCTAACAAGAACATATATCAAGCCACCGGAAGCTATCACTCACACCTACAAAACGTCAAAACTCGATAATGTGGAATGCTTTCACTCCCCATATCTAAACCGGTGTTGTCGCCGATCCATCCACATAACGTATCAGAACGAATAGCCGGTACAACAGACCTAAAGCGCACACCACATGCACACGTTTTAGACAGCGCCATAATTATCGGACCGCTCACCCATCTTCAGGAGAGAGATCCGCATCATCCTTGCCAGTCCGTCCATCCGTCGACGCCACCATGGCGCCCAACGGCGCCACCGCCCCGCGCTCGTCCATCCAGACACGAAGATTCTAGAAGACCTGTCATGCCTAGCACCTGCCGAGCAGGCATGACACCGCGTAGCACCTGTCGGCCAGGCATAACTTGACGTCTCCACCAAAGCTTCGTGCAAGACGAAGCCACTCCACCTCCTGCCTCTTGTCTTTCAGCGCTGCTCCACAAACGATGCTCCCAAAAGAGAAACGACACCGCAGTATCGTCATCGTCCGATCTGAAAGACTAGATCCTAGGGTTTCCCCCGGAGCAGCACGAGTGGTTCAACAGTCGTTGCACGACGATGCCTTCATCAAGGTAACGGCGCAGAACGCCGCCATCGTCTGCCATCAGCTCGGTTTTCACCGACAACTATGTCTTCCCGACTCGCAGCCGGAACTAAGATGACGATCTCGAGATCTGATCATCCAGCCTCAGGCCGACCATCTCCAACAGAGGAGATGGCCACCACCGCCGGCTGCACCGACCAGATCAGATCTAACCGAAGGTGCCGTCAAGCCGCCCACCAGGCCCTCCATGCCGCCGCCGATCCGAAGCCGGATGACACGCCGCCGCAGCGTAAGTCGCCGCCGCCGCCCGTGATCAGGCTGCCCTACACGCCGCAGTCGCAGTCGCCCGCGACAGGGCCAGCCACCGCCGCCGCCGCCGCCAGATCTGCCGTGCCTCGGCACGCACAAGGGCTCCGCACCACCCGTGAGACGCGGGAGAGAGGAGGATCCCCGCCACCGCCGTCGGCCCTCCGGCAGTGGCAGGGTGAGAGAAGGTGGATTAGGGAGCGGGGGCGGCTAGGGCTGGGCAGTGGCGGATCTAGGCCCCAGGTCGGGGGGGCCCAGGCCTGGGGCGTGAGGCCCATTTTCTTTGTGGGCTGTAGGGAAAATACTGTAGCAACTGCTACAGTACACAAAGGGGGCCCGGGGCGCTGGGCTGGGCTGGATCCGCCCCTGGGGCTGGGGACCCGTCCGAGTCGCCCGAGCGGGAGCGACGCGGGGCGTACCATTTACACCTTAGTCTGAACTATTTTGTTCCTCTTGCAGCAAGGGAAGAAACGGCCATATCCCATACAGAGATTCAAAGCTGACACGCATATTACAGTCCTCTTTGGGAGGCAATGCAAGAACAGCCATTGTCTGCACCATGAGCCCAGCACGCACTCATATTGAGCAATCCAGGAACACACTTCTGTTTGCAACTTGCGCAAAGGAGGTAGTTACAAATGCACAGGTCAATGTAGTGATGTCTGACAAAGCACTACTGAAGCATCTACAAAGAGAGCTTGCAAGATTAGAGAATGAACTGAAATTGCCGGAGTCAGCCTCCTGCACTAGTCATGCTGAAGTTTTAAGAGAGAAGGATGCACAGATCAAAAAGGTACTTTTCCTCACTTGAAATTTTCCAACCCTTGTAACAGTGTTAATTGCAGGACCACACAATTTCATGCACCATGTACCTGTCTATTCTTCTTTCAGCTGGAAAAACAGCTTAGGGAATTGATAGAAGAAAAGGATACTGTTCAGTCTCAACTTAACTGTTTAATGAAAAGTGACGCTGACGACCATGCCAATGACCGCACTGCAAAGCGATGGGTACTATCTCTCTCATATACACAGACTTACTTTTTGCATTATTGTCATGTGTGACATTTAATGATCTGTCCTTCCTCTGATAGGATGTCCATAGTCGGTCCTCAGAGTCTCTTGCGCGAAATGCATCCGAGGAAGCACTTTCGGTTTCAGACACTTATGGAGGTTCTTATCAAGATCAAGGTCACGCAGTGTTTGATGAATCATATGTCTTCAGTGCTGATCATGATGACTTGTCAGTTCCCAATCAAACAATGGATCTTCCTCAACAAACAAGGGTTCGGAAGCCAATTTCACCTTGGCACCCTCCTAGTAACTATAGCTCTGATGGCACAGAGTCATATAACATGAAGGAAGTAGCTTTCAGAAGTGCATCTGAAGTATCTGAAGAACATTGTAGGGAAGTACAATGTATAGAGATACATGAGCATAGAAGAAGCACAAGCGAGGAATTTAATGTATTACTCCATGAGGGCACTAAGCTCCACATACCTGAAGTAGAGGACATCTCTAGAGACGCAGTCCCGCAACCTGATGAAGTACCAGAAGCCGTGAGCATAACAGAGAAAATGGAAGATCATATCAAGATATACCCTACCAAAGAGGAGCGGCAGGCCGAGATCATAGCAAATGCAGTAGAAGGTCCTATTGAAGTGCATCAATGTGAATCTGATGACTTTGCAGACAACTTTGTCAAACTGTACCCATGTGATTCTAACATTTCCTTGGACGTTGGCAAACCTTATCCTCATGAATGCCTGACTGTAAAGAGGTGTATAACGAGCTCCAAGGATAGTGCATTGGCTAGAAGTCAGAGTTGCAGGGCTAGCTTCATGATCATTCCAAATAGTTGGTTTGATGATTCGGAAAACACCGGGCAGACACCACCTGGTGAAATCTTCAGGTATCCTCCCAGAAGGCCTGATAAAGTTAGGAGAAGTCTGTACCAAGGAAATGATGGTTGCCAAAACAATAACACTTCAGTAGACCTCTCCGCTGATTCTGGCGAAGTAGTTTGTGATGAAGTAGTCAAGGACATGAGCACCAGTGATGAGGTAGTCAAGGACATGAGCACCAGTGATGAAGTGGTCAAGGACATGAGCACCAGTGGTGAAGTAGCCAGGGAGTGGAGTGCCAATGAAGCAGAACAAGAAGTTTGTGCCGGTGACATCAGTTGTGTCACAGACCTGGAACAGAAGGCAGCAAAACACCATGAGGACCAACCTGAGGAACATCAGGCAGAGGTAATGATGTTAGTTAGAAACAAACTGTGGGCTTTAACTGCGCTAATAACGGGAAACTTAACAAAAAAGAATTGACTAGTATACTGGTGCCGAATATTATAGCTGATAGCGCCTAAATCACCAGTCGATATTTAGCTTTTTTTCTTTTCGAAAAGGACCATCTCCCCTGACCTCTGCATCAAGCGATGCACACAGCCATAGTCGATATTTAGCTTATATATGAAGTGGAATTAAACCAATGTCTTTGTGTATGCCATTTCAGCAGCAGATTGTTCGAGATGAGTGTGCAGCAGTTAAAACTGTCAAAGATGTTGGCATAGATGCAGTCCCGAGTACCGCCGAGTCTCCTTCGCGCTGGCCTATTGATTTTGCAAATAGGCAGCGAGAGATCATTGAGTTGTGGCACGATTGCAACGTGTCCCTGGTACACAGAACCTACTTCTTCCTCCTCTTCAAGGGAGATGTCGCAGATAGCGTCTACATGGAAGTGGAGCACAGGAGACTGTCCTTCATCCTGAGCTCCTTCAGCACCAGCTCCGCAGGAGGCGAGCTTAACTCCGCAATGGCATCCGGGTAAATATGTCATTTTTTTTCAGGGTAGCAGTATGGTTTCGAACTGTCCATGAATTGAAACCTAAGTACATTATGTTTTGGTGGAATAATACTGACGCTGGTTTTGCCCGCAGCTTGAAGAATATGAAACGCGAGAGGGACATGCTCTACAAGCAGATGCTGAAGAAGCTCACCAACGGGGACAAGGAGGGCATCTACACCAGATGGGGGATCGATCTGGGCTCCAAACAGCGGCGGCTTCAGCTATCTCGCCTGGTATGGACGCGGGCTGACATGGAGCATGTCCGAGAGAGCGCCTCGCTGGTGGCGAGGCTGATCGACTTGGTTGAGCCAGGGCAGGCTCTCAAGGAGATGTTCGGCCTCAACTTCACGCTGGCTCCCAGAACCGAACGCCGGTCTTTCAGCCTGCTGGGCGCTTGATCTTTGACGTATGTATGGAGGTAGAAGGGTTTGGTTTACATAGTACAGGAGGTTCACTTAACAGGAGGAGAGGACTATGCTCCACCGCATCGATTGGTTTCACTCGTGTCTCTACCTTGTTCTTGTTTTTGCTTGTGTATTGTGTGCGTGTGCGTGTGCGATATTCCTGTGTGCAATCTTACAAAAGTGAATCGATCAGACAGTACAGTTCTGACTATCCGTGCTGTCGTATGTCCGTTTGTGGGGGTTCGTCCATCTAGTCCATCTTTTTGTGTCCCAAATGAGAAGTCAAGCAATAATGAGGAAACTTGACCCACACCTGACCAAAGGGTTTGGTAGTCTAAGGAAGCAGAAGCTTTTTTTTTTTTTTTTAAGGAAAAACTTCCAATCTATTCATCTTCAATCATGGCAGTACAACGAACACTAGAAATAAAAATTAAATTCAGATCTGTAGACCACCTAGCGACGACTACAAGCACTGAAGCGAGCCGAAGGCGCGCCGCCGTCATCACCCCTCCATCGTCGGAGTCGGGCACAACTTGTTGTAGTAGACAGTCGGGAAGTCGTCGTGCTAAGGCCCTATAGGACCAGCGCACTAGAACAACAACCGCCGATGAAGAATAACGTAGGTTGGAAGGATTCAACCCGAAGACACACGAACGTAGACGAACAACGACGAGACCCGAGCAAATCCACTAAAGATAGATCCGCCGGAGACATACCTCCACACGCCCACCAACGATACTAGATGCACCGCCGGAGCAGGGGCTAGGCGGGGAGACCTTTATTCCATATTCAGGGAGCCGTCGCCGTCTCGCCTTCCTAAGTAGGACACAAACCCTAACAAGACAGGAAAAAACGACTGAAAACGGAGCCCTCCCGCCGGCCCTTGGCAGGATCCACCGCGCCCCCATGGCCCTAGGGCCACCGGAGACGAGGCAGACCTACGGTGGTGCCGGTGAGAGGCAGAAACCCTAGCTTTCTTTCTGGGAGGACACACGAAAACTTTGGCAACTTTTCAGTTCAGTTTAATTGAAGCTTTCTGTCCCAACCTTCAAGGGTTCCTCACTGTATGACATGATCCATTGGATTGGAGCAATGGTACACAACTATGTTTGGTGTCCCATCTATCACTCCCATGTCAGATCCTGGTCCCAAAGGTCAATACATTGAGTCAGAAAGACCGGGGGCTTTCATAATCCATAGCCGAACTAGCCCGTGGATCAACTCTCATAGTGGGAGAATCAAAGTCTAAGTTAAGCGCAAAAAGGGGGTTGACATCATTCAGCATGATTGGATCAAGCAGACTTCCCCACAGGAAATGCCAAGGGGCCCCCTTTCTCATTGTCATCTACCGCCCATTTCTTCATCATCAGTTGTTGCCTTAAGTGCGTAAAGTAGGCTCGGCTTCTTAGGAAGTCGAAGGTAGTCCAGTCCGCTTGTTAGTTTGAATTGAATCTTAGATAACCTACGTAGATAAAGAGAAAATCATAATAGTCTAAGTGAACCTCTCAAAGGTATAAATAAGTAAATAAGTAGACATTAGTCTTACTGGTTCGAAGCCTTGACTGGGAGCGTCGCAAAATCTTACCCCATATGAACTTGATTACAACTTAACAAAACCAAACACCTCTGAATTTGGATCACAAATTAACATAACCACCTCCTAGGATTCTACGACGCTCTGGCAATGCTTTCAAGATTTTAGTTGATGAATG